TCTCCCCCCCCCCCACCCTCTCTCTCTGAAATAATTAATGTCGCAATCAGTGTGGTGCACCCTTGGAGACAAATTGGTTGGGGAGGTGGAAAGATATTAAGAAACAACTCGACTGTTTTTCGTCCAGTTTTATTTTTATTTATTTATTTTCCCCTGAAAAAAGCAGATCGCTCAACGGTGTCACAAAGAAAGGGAGAGGAATTGAGTGCCAGTCTTAGAAAGGCGAAGCTGCCTCTCTAAAGCATTTTGGTGGCTTTGTAAGTTTGGGGGAAAGGGGCGGGGGTGTCAATCAAGAATTATATCCAGAATACCCCAAGTGTTACAACTTACCGTATTTGCCGGCGTATGACTTTTTTGCCCTGAAAAACATGCCTCCAAGTGGGGGGGTCGTCTTATACGGCGAGTATATAACAAACTCTATATTTTGAGTGGAAATGTTGGGGGCTCGTCTTATACGCCCAGTCGTCTTATACGCCGGCAAATACGGTAGCTTTGTATATTTTAATAGCTGCAATATGGTTTTTATTGAAAAATATCTTTGATCCCCTCTATATAATAATACTAACCAAACAGTGGGAATATACTTTAATGTCTAAAATAATTTCATATATTGAAAAGTAAATCTGATGTAGAATTCAAATATTTGGAAATCATTTTTAGACTAGTTTTTACATGCAATTTTACCATATCCAAAATTCAGGTTTCAGAATGATTTGAATTGTGTTACTACAGTTTAATAGGCAGGCTTTAATTAAAGAAATTATATAAAATATGTTGTAGTATTATAAGCTTTTCATGATATAGTAGTTAATATATTTCAAATTAAATACCTATTTGCTTATATTTTACTGTTTATATTTTTATCTGTGATGCCTATCTTTTACACTTGTAATTGTATTATCTGTTTTCTGTATATCACAAATAAATAAATTTTCAACCTGAAGGAAAAAGTAATTAAGCTTTGATTTCCACATAACTGTCTTAAGCAAAGTGAGCGAAGTCTTAAGCACTATTTCTAAGTCATTGTTTTTTCCTTTTGGATCAAGACATAGTTACTAATTTATAAAGGCAATCTTTAGCTCACTGGCATTGTTCTCTACACCTGGCTATTGTATAAGGGGAAACTTCTATTTAGTATCTGCCTTTTTGAAATAGTTTCATATTTGTAGGACACTTTATGAATGCATTATTGTGATCATATTTTGATTATGCATCCCAACCGAAATAAGAAATAGAAGTTTTTCATGTTTTTGCTACAATTCCTGTATTTCTTCTTCATTGGTTGTCCTGACTGGGGTTGGTTGGAGATGTAGACAAAAATATCTGAATCATATCAAAATGGGAGACTACTTTGAAATGTCTAGAACACGGGTATCAAATTCAATCGTGTCACATGACATATTGTGATCTATCATGTTTTTTGCCTTTGCAGAGCCGGGGTAGGTATGGCCTGTGTGTGATGCATCTGGCCCATGGGCTGCCAGCTTGACAGACCTGGTCTAGAACACTTATTCAAAGGACGCTTTTGCTTGCTCTGAATAAAGCAGAGCTATTATTGGTCTTTATTTCTCATTTTGTTATTATAGACTGAATGTGTAGTAATTTTTTTTCTTTTGCAGTTGCTGTACTTTGCCGACACTCCTCCCCCCTACATATTATAAACCTGACACTCTTACACCCGTGTACATTTATTCTGCAAAGTATCCTTTCTGTTCCTGGCTGGGAATTCTTGGATTTCTTAATGACAACTCATATGAAAGACATCAAAATGGGAAAAGCCCAATGTTTAGCCTTGGCTAACTTGATATCTATCTATGATGCATATATTTCTAATGCTTTCATGAATTTCATAATGTTCCAGTGCTGTGACCAAAACTGCAGGAGTTGGCAAGATTGAATCAACTGTTTTCAACTGGTGGCAAACGTATTACAAATGGGACTCAGAAGATAAGCAGATGACAAGGTCAGCCACTAAGATTTTAAATCAGTATTTAAGTTACCATAAATGACACGTGTAATAAAAGGCCTGTAAATACATTTACTTCTAGAAAAGTTGTGTTATGTTTCTAACATGGTAGAACCCACAAAGAATGACTAGTATTTCTTATTTGAATGGTAGAGTGTAAGGTACTAAAGTAATCAAGAAAAGTAAATACAGTATGCCATTTAGCTAAATGCTAGTTCTGGTGTCTGTACCTGTGCAGTTTTCTTGAGCAATTTAGAATTGATTTGCTATTATTATTTGTTATAATTATTAATAATCTATTGGCTATCAAAGCTGCAATTCCCAACTGGTATACCTTGCTTCGTTTCAAAGTTCCAAATTATTGTCAGAAAATAATATACCATAGATATGTCAACTAAGAGTTGAGCTCTACTTTTTATTTTTATATAAATATAAAATTGTTTTTGTTTTTACTCTTTATTTTAGCTAATTAAGTCAATAAAAATTATACAGGTTTGATATGTGCTTTCTTTATAAAGGTATACATCATGAAACATAATTAAAAGTATTATTTATCCAATCGTGATACCACTTTTTTAACTAGCAGCCTTAAACAAAGATTGTTTGGAAGACATTTGAAGAATATATATTTCTGAAGTTTGGCAGAGAAACTTCTGATATTATAACTTGTAGAGATGGATAGGGAATATGACCAAGTTAATTCTTCTGGAAATTTGTAGCATTTTCCTCACACTTAATTATCAGAACTTGTGGTTTTATTTTTTTAAAAAATAAAGAGACTACAGTATAATGTACAGTAATTGTTGCTCTATGATTTGGTAGATACCTTAGATATATTTAGGAAAGACACAATCATGTAATGCCTTGTTCTTTTCATTTTCTGGAACAGATAATCCATAGCTTCAGAAAAAAATATAAATGAATTACAAAGTAGGCCAGCTTTATCGGATCTTGAGAACGTGGTTTCTTTGAATTTCTATGATGTTGTAGGCTGAAAGAAGATTCACCAAATTAAAAAAAAAAAAAGGCCGGAACCCCGCACTATTAAAAAAGATCTATTGAAAATGCATATGGGACATAAATAATGATGCATGATGATCAGTATTAGGTACATGAATCCATCTATACTGGATTGGAATCTCTGAGGGATTAAACATGTAGCAGGCTCCTAAATGATGATTCTAGTTCAGGAAAATAATCATGTCCGCTGCACCACTTTTTTCACTACAGTATTGCTTCCATCACTTATACTTTGTCAGTTCAGAAAATAGATTACTGCATCATGTGAAATAATGACAATCATTTATTCCATTTATACGCCGCTTGACTCCCAGCACTTGGGAATTGCCTCTGAAGACTGTCAAAATCCACAATTATGGACCAGAATAGTGGTGCACATTGATAACTACTGTATTAACAAATAATGAAAATACACATTCAACTGCACTGGCTTCTGGACCTTATTGAAGGAGACAGTCAATATTTAATCAAATCCCAATTTGCTAAGTGAGTATTGTATGGCAATATTGTCTTCTATATGAATCTGACTTGTATTGTATGGCAATATTGTCTTCTATATGAATAACAGCTGACTTGTAAGTACCATGTTCTTTATTAATTCAGAAAGACTGGTGTTTATGATGGAGCTTATTTCACTATAACTGTTTATTATGGAACAATCTCTTAAGGAAGCTAAACCATACACCACATATATATATGGTTTATTTTTGTGTGTGCGCACGTGTGTGTATATATTGTAATTAGATAAAGAATAATAAGCCTAAAATAAAGAATATATATTCTTTAAAAACAACTTGTGCAGTCTTGAAACAAACTTTTCTCTGGGAAATGGGAGTAATATAGGAAAAATGAAATTTCTGCTCCGTAATCTTTGTTTTATTATACTATTCTTATAGTTTCACATTTGATATTTGTGTACCACCTAAGACCAAATCAGCTGCTGTGAAATAAAACATGGGTAATGCGCAATATGTAATAATTTCACACAACCGCTTCTGCAAGATGATTCATACAAAGTAAAAATTTGCATATATTTGTTTATTTTGGCTTCTGCTAATCTTAGGAAAATACATGGAGTTATATTCATTATAACTGAATTTCCAAACTCATACACTAAAGATTCAATTCTTTTTTTTCTTTCAGAGACTAAGCAAAGATTTTATGAGCTTACTTGATAAAACTGCTCCTATATCCTTTGAAGGCCATTTTCAAAGCAGTGAAGGACAAAATATTAGTTCTGCTTAAAATTGCACAAGTTAGAAATATAACTCAAAGAAAATACATTAAAATTGTGATGTTTCAATTTCAGGTTTCTTTGCTTTGGGGTTCCAGAGCTTGGTCTCTTACGTCTGGGACCTTAACATTCCATTTTTTAAACATAAAGTGACAAGGGTGCACTCAAAAATATACCAAAATTAGAAGCATTTTGACATATTAAAAAAAAACTGTTCCACTCATTTCTGCAGTTAAACACTGCTGATTATTGTGGATGTCAAAACTCTAGACTGTGCTCCAAAAGAACAGACTTTAAAGATCTACAAAGCCAAAAATATTTCTGCATATTAGGAATTCACAAAATGTATTTTGGGGGGAATGGAACATTCTAAGATACACAAAATATTTCCATTTTTCTTCTGGACCAGGCTAATTTGTGTATTCTGGGTGTGATCTAGCAGTCTTCTGAAAATAAATCTCCTTTAACTCCCCTAAAACTGCAAGCAGAAATTTAAAATTAGTGTACAAGATAGCATGTTAAGCCATGCAGCATTAATGAAAAGTAGCAGACACATTAGTAAGGTTTCATTTTTAATAATTTTCTTAGTCAAAAGTGTTGCTCTGAAAATCTCTACTTATCTGAAAATCTGAAAAGGCTGGGGAGCAATCTCACTTTGAACAACACAGTTTAAAGGCATGGGCTGCACTTTCACTTTTTTCTTCACCAAATATAACAGTGCCATTTCAAAATAAAAGTTACACCTTAAAAATAAAATGGAGGATGTATCATAGTTGCAAACTTTGATTTTTTGGGGGGCAGTGGGAGGAGAAAGGAGGGGCAAAGAGAGAATGAAATTTCTCATACAGTAAAACAAACCACAAAATAAATCAACATTCTTAAAAACCACTATAATTAGAATAAAATATGTATTCTTACTATATTTCAAACCCAATAAAAATAAGATTGCCACGTTACTGTTTAGGGAGCAGCAGATCTGACTCTTTCCTAGTTTTCAATCTTGATATCCATTCCCTATTCTCTTCTGTTTTCAGTTTTTAGCAAAAGCAAATCCTATCACTTCCTTGGGCAACAAGCTTTGAATTTTAAAAGTCAGAGTAAACAGAACAGAAAAGCAGCAGATGAGGTTGACCTCTTCCCTAGGAAGTATATGGATTTTCTCAACCAAGGACTGCACAATGTTCCAGTGGTATTTTTCTCTTGCCCTATTCCTGGATTCCAAAAGCAAGATGGCAATCTTAATATAAAAAGGATGCTAAATCTTTTAAATAACTTAAAACTTTTTTTTTCTTGTTAAAAAGCACCCCTCATTCCTCTGCAGAAATAAATGTTAAGAAGACACCAATGTAAATTACTGTTCAAAGAGGAGAATCAGAACACCTGCTAGTTTTCCATGTCACAATAAAATCAGAATGATTTAGAGCTATTCCTTAACCTCATCAGTACTGTCTGAAGAAGATTCTTTGGTATCCTCAGTCTCTCTGCTGCTTTCTTCTTGATTTAGCTTTTCATTTTCCAATTTGGTCCTATTAAGCAAAGAACTGTCCCCATTCACAAATCCATTTGCTTCTGCACCAATGCTTTCCTCAATCTTTAGATCCTGTGGCTCCTCTGTCTCCAAATTTCTCAGGACAATTGGGAGGCTTGAGTCTGCCACAGTGTTCTCCAGCAAGGCAACATTACTTTCTTCATATCTGGGAAGGGGTGCTTCTTCTGCCATTTGTTTGCCATAGTACTCTCGATTAGCAGAAGCACTTTTTATTGCTTTTTCCAGGATTTCTTTTTCTCCTAAACGCAATTTAATAGCCATAGTTGCATTACGGGTAAGGTCTTGTGTTTCCAAAATGAATTTGTCATCCTAAGGAAACAAGTGGAATAACAAACATGAAGCTGTTAGCTCAACCTTAAGCACAAAACCAGACATTAGGTTTACATAGCAATGACATCAAATGGAGAGGGTTCTTCTTTATGACTCGAAGAAAAAAGTAGATCCCTGCTTCAAGAACCTTACCATCCCCAAAGTGGACATTTGGAAAACACAACTAAATGTGGTGATTGTCTTGATTGTTTAGATTGTATTGCAATTAGGAATGAACAAGGGGAAGTCAAGATATAAGACAGAATATAAAGATACATTCTTGCAAGTGTTTTGAACAAGTAAGAATCAGTACTGTTTAATGAAAGAAGATAACATTCAGAATCTTGGACTTAGCAGAGGTCTAAAAAAATGAATGTTTGGAATGCAAAAGATGTGTTTCTACATATCTAGAGGAAAGCTTCAGGGTAATAACAATACCACTTAGACTTATATACCACTTCACAGTGCTTTACAGTCCTCTATAAGCAGTTTACAGAGTCAGCATATTGCCCCCAACAATCTGGGTCCTCATTTTACCAACTTCGGAAGGATGGAAGGCTGAGTCAAGCTTGACACTTTCAGAATTGAGCAGTGAGTTAGCATGTGATACTGTATTCTAACCATGGCACTACCACGGCTCTGAGTGGGTCTGAAAAGTGGCCATTGAGCATATATTTTCAGTACTTTCTCTGTCCCTGTCATCCAGCAATGTGAAGGAAACAGTAAGAGTCCACAAATTTCAAGTGTAGCTTATAAAGGGGCTGGGTCATATTGTCACGAAGAGTCCTATTCAGATACCCAGCTTCTGTTCCCTTAATAATGATTCAAACCAACTCAGAATCTTTTTTTTTAATTTAAAATGTAAGAAACCATTGCATTTTGCAACATCTCTCTTACATGAAAATATACATTTAAAAATAACTTAGGTACATAAGAAGAAAAGCAGTAGTAGTTTCTGGAAAAGCAAAGTACCACAAGAATGCAAAGCTTTTAAAACACCCATCACTGCATTCACAATTAAATCTGATAAATGGTAAGGTTCATAAATATACAGTATGAAATTTCAAGCTGTTTTAAATCTTACTTGAATAGTAGTCTTGTAGGTTTTCAAGAGAAGAGATGCCCTGGCTTCCAGGAAAGTCCAAAGTTTCACCTCATTGTCCCAGCTCACTGGAAATTCTGAATTACCAAGGGTGAAGATTCTGTCAATAGTATGTTCCCCTATCAAGTGTTCTTTCAGCTCATCTACAAAGGATAAAATGCTGTCAGCAAATGCTTACTTATTCTGGCCATCAACCAGGTTAATAATTGATCATTAGTAAAGAATCTGTATTCAAGATGGATGCTCAAAAACAGAGGTCCCCAAACTTGGCAACTTTAAGACTTGTGGACTTTAATTCCCAGAATTCTCCAGTCAGCTATGCTGGAGTCTTAAATCTTAAAGATGCCAAGTTTGGGGACCCCTGCTCTAAAATAAAACAATTTACATTTTGCCTTCATTACAGGACTGAATAACAGGTATCAGCTCAAGGGTGCATCATGTTTTTGTGGACGATGCTTTCCTCTCTTGTTCTATTATTTTTACATTTCATTATTCCTCATTTTTATTTTATTCTACTATTTAAAAGATTCATTAATTTGTTACTTTAACATTTATAAAGAGTTGGGGCTGGGGGGGGGGGGGGGATTGATTGGTAAGAGAATTCCTTGCAAGTAAAGTGCAGGTTTTTCCTTTATCAGTAGAGGGAGCAATGATACCGAGACTCTTTTTTTCAAAATTACATGGAAAGTGTTTTTCTCTTTTTTTAACTAGGAAAACAAGCAAATGAAAGAATAATTTCATTTTGTGCCTTAATTCCTACTCTAAAAAATGAGAAAAAAAATGCTGCAATAGGATGGAGAATTTTAAAAAAAAGATTAAATGCCTCTAAAGGTCTTAAGCCATTTCAACCTCAGAGTCTAAAAATTGCAGAAAAAAAGGTTCCACTGAGTTTATGTGACAAACCTCAGCTAAGTCTGTGAAGCCTATTTGAAAGAGATGTGAATTATTTCTTCTTTTCTTACCTGCTTTCCCTGCATCCTAAAATCATACTGTTGCAATTTAGCAAAATGACTAACCAGGGGAGGGGGCCATGTTTACTTTATTTACAATCAAAGACCAAAATAACAAGTACAGTCAGATAAAATCAGATCAAAAAAAAAAAAAAAGGAAAAAAGAAGAAATTAACAGAATTGTAAACCACCTAGAAGAGAAAAATCAGCCAAACGTAAACCCAATGTCTACGGTATTTATATTTCTTAAACAAAATTAAGTGATTGCTCTAGATATTTCTGTAGATCTAACAGATATAGAATATTTGCCTCATCAGAACATCCCAGGCAGGAAGTTATTGACTCAGACCACTATATTTGATAAAAGGGACATAGCAGATAACAACAAAAAAGTATAAGATTGTCTTGACTGTCCCATTGAGACAACAGCACAGAGGGCAATATACAATACACTGGAATCTTTTTTGCATTAAGGACAAAATGTTGAGTCCAACTAATGAAAACTTATATACTTCTATATGGAAAAGAAAATATATTATAGATGCAATTAGGTAAAGAAAAAGATCTATCATAAAAGCTGTCATTGCAGTAGTAAATAAGGGATTTTGCTTCTGACTCTACAAATCCGGGCTAAAAAATAGTTTAATATCTAGGATAGCTCTCTTAAAGCCTGACATGGTCAAAAATTAAGATGATAACCCACAATAATTCAGGTACAAGGGAGACGTAAACAGTGAGATGAAAAAATGGAAAAATAAAATAAGCAATAAAAAAATAAACAACAAAGAATACTATAACAAAAAGATGGACAAGTGGAAAGCAGACAGCAAGGGGGAGGGGTGGAGTCTGCTGGCAATCTAGCAGCCACCTTCATAATCAAGTCTCAGTAGTGGAAAAAGAAGGCTAAAAGCTATTCAAGCTATCTTCTAGATTTTAAAGTAGAACTGTTAATTATAATCCAACCAATTATTAAATAAAGCTTAATATCAAATAACTAGGAAGCCTATGTATAGGCATATGGGAGCTTTTTGTAAGCAGGTAATTATTTTATTTTGCTTTATGAACTATTAAGCTACAGTGGCCTAATAATATTTGTTTTAAAATAGATGCTTGAAGGGTAAGCCTCTCTTAATCCTATTTTTATTATCACTTAATAAAATGAATCAGATACATGTGCTTATAATGTTCTTGTTTTACCTTCAGTCATACAAAATACTCTAAGAAAAGCCAGTAGTTGAGCAGAGATTGGAGGGTCTGTTGAATGCAAAGCAAAAACACTGGAACTAATAAAATAAAGAATGAGTCAGTATATGATTATTATTTAATATAAAAAATCTTAATTTATATAATAGTATTACTCTTGTAATGAGGATTATAAGGAATCAACTCAATTTCAGATCATTAAACAAGCTATTCCAAACTCTTCCACATAAATGTTACACAATTTCTCTTCCAGAACAAGTTATTTTATGTAACTTCGTAGTTAACACTTATGCATGCCTCCAAAATGTTTCAAGTCGAATTTCCAATCTACACTATGAATTGTAACATACTATCACTAACCACCAAACATATAGAATAAATCCTATTCAATTTATTTCAGGATCCAATGCCCCCTAAAAAACAAATATTGGCAGCACTACTGTTAAAAATAATACCATGATTGCATCATATTTCTACTGAAGAGAAGTAAATAGTAAAATGAGCAAACTGGGCCATATCCCATACCCTGAGATAACTTATTTGTGCGTTGATGTATAAATAAAATGTATAATAGATAAACATGGCATACTATGCAATGTAAGATAAATTATATGATGGCTATTTTAGCATCTATCAACAATAATTAAAGTTCATTAATCAATGTTTTACTGAGTTTTCAAGCTTACAATACTTTAAGATAAAAGCAGTCTCACTTAATTTTACTTACGTTGGGATTCCAGCACGAGCTAAGACTTCTGCCTTCATAGCATACAGCCTGTCACTTTTACTTACTCCAAGCTTTATTTTCACTCTGTCATGTAAATTATTATCAAAGAAAAATCCACTGTGGATCACAAATTCAGCATTTGACCGAGTGCCATAAAAAATGTAAATCTAAGAAGATGAAAAGAGAAGGAACAGAAAAACAGCTTACCATCAAATCTTGGAATGACAATTGGCACTTTAGACAAATAACCTCCCTGCCCCAAAATACAGTACAAAAGAGCACAAAAGAGTAAAAATACTGTATTTCAACAAAGTACAACACAAATTTTCCACAAATTGCTTGCACTCTCAAGCATTTCACATTGCTCAAAGCCTCAATATATTTCTGCACTGGATTAATACATATAGATCATTAATGCTCAATTGATTCTCTTTTGAACTGCAAACAATGCTGGAATTTTGTCACATGTAAGAATAGTCTTTTTCTGACTGCTGAATATGAGCTTGATAAAAAATGTGTTATAAGATAATCAAATAATGGTTTAATGAGAAACAATGGCTTACTGCTTTGAACAAATAAAAATATTGTATATTGTGCCTCACTTGAAATCCTGGTATACACAGGCTGGAAGGCTATTCTGTAAGACTAATTCTTGGGGAAAATCTACTGTGCAAAATAATTAAACTTTACAGAAAGAAATAAAATGTTTTTCAAATTTTATATATGCAGTATATTTACTTCCATTAATACACATTGTAGCTATCAAGGTGGCCCTTTATAATAAATTCTAAAGAACTTTTTCACTTCTCAAGTAATATAACAAAGAAGCATGTATGGGCTTGTATTGAATGGCCAGAAAAAGCATGAATATTCAGAAATAAAGACAGCAGATATACTGGAGAAAGAAAGGGGGAAATTTTGAGTGCAAACTACAAAAATCATTTGAAGGGGTGGGGGATGGGGGAAAATGCAAGCATTATGGTGAAATAATAGGATTTCTTGAAGCTATAAATGCAAAACCAAACCATGCCCAACAAGGAAGAGAAAAATATTGTTTTTATTCAAGTACTTTTTTTCCCAAGAACAAAGAGGAAAAGATGTCAAATAGCCACTTCAACATAGTAGTGTAAAAGATATAAGCAGTTAATGAAACTGAAGAGGGGATAAATCTGAGAAAATATGGGTACAAAGCATCCCTGGAAAAGTGAACTCACCACCTGGAGTGAGAAGATATTTCCTCCTTCTGGGATCTAGAGTTTTGGGGTTGCCTGGAAAGGAGCAGCCCCACGCTCTCCTTAATTAAAGAGTTTATCCCATAAAATGAAAACAAAGTGTTTATAGGGGATGGCAAGAAGTGAGTCAAGCCAGGAAGACAGCAGAGACTAGGGAAAGAGAAACTTTCAATATGAAGGCAAGCACTTCAGCTGTTGTCTTCAGATAGCAATAGAAAACTTCCATTCTTGGAATTGAAAAACAGCTGAAAGAAAAGAGTCTGCAAACCCAAAGCAAGCATACAGGAGCCCAGATGCCGAGCTCCTAGAAGTCATGGTGATACTCTGATACTCTGTTCCAAACGCAGAAGAAATGTCTGATGTTAGAGTTAGGAAACAAGTCAAGTTCCCATTTTTCTGAGATATGCTGCGATAGTTTCTGGATAGAATATCTACTTGTCCTGCACTAGATTTTGCAAATTCAGGTAGCTTGCTAACATGTTCTTTGACCTTTTTATGCATTCTGTTGTAAGGGACAAAGTATTTTCATTCACATGGTTAGACACGTGGCTTCATTATGACGCCCTCTGGACCGATTTCTCTTTTGGTGACTTATGTAATCTTTGTTGAGATGCCTGCCCATGTTAGCACATCATCACTCGAGCTGGTGTTTCAGGATGCTTACAGCTAGTTAAAGTCATTCTTAATCTTATGCATATATTGTCCATCAACGGAACCCTAATCAGATAATATGAATATGCATATGTATTGCTGTCATCTGTAAATGTCCCAGCACTATAGCCGCAAGTTTGGTGAAAACCCAGGGACCAATGTAGTTGAAGGGAATTCCTTTGAAGTAATAGTGGCTATAGTAGTAGTTAAATATGAGAAATATTTTTACATACTAACCTGATAATGAAAGTAAGCTTCCAATATGTCCATTGGTGCCAAGTGGTCATCTGGTATAAGGCCTGTGCTATTGATTTCACGGTTTCCATCTTATTTATTTGATACAGCTGTTCTCCAATCCACTTTTTTGGCTACTGAAGATCATCCATGAAAAAAATCTATCATTAACTCAGATGATCTTGCCAGCACATTCAGGCATGTAGGTTCTGAATGTATCTCTCAGAACAAAGACTAACCTAAAGCATAGAAACTGTTGCCACTTCTTTTGTAAAATAATTGCTTCAGTATTTTTATTTTATTTGCTGTTCCTCACCTGGGTCTTTGAGAAAGTCCCTCTTAAGAAGTAGATACAACTGTCCTGGATATACTGTTGTAACAGAATAGCTGCAGATTACTGCTTAAATTTGTTCCTTTCATTCCTTTCTGACTAGTTTAGAGAATAATTGCAAGAATACCACTTCCTGCCAACAGGGTGCTTCTTCTGGAAATTCTGTGTGTCTCAGGGAATGCTCAGGTTACTAGAAGTTTAAGAATTCTTAAAGATTTACAGAGGTGCCAGATATAAGTGATCCAAGAGCCTGTATCATGGCATGTAGTCCAGGGAGTATCCCCTCCTGATAATTTGCCCTCCTCCCTTTGAAATTCTATTGTCATTAGGATATTTGAAATTACATAATTGATTCTGTCCTATGAGATCCCAGGAGTAAGATGACCTTCTCTAATTTACTTTAGGAACTTAGAGACGCTGAGATTGCAGCTGTGGATGACTGTCATGTAATTGTCATTTAAATTGCAGACAAGGCTCTTCTTCCACTTCTTCTGTCTATACTTCTTATTGCAGTTGTGTCTTTCTCATTCCCTCCTTCTGCCCTTGTGGACATGCCCTGAGGTGCAGCAGCAGCAGAAGAGGAAAAAGGAAAGGGGGAGGGGATAGCAGGAAGGAAAGGTATCTGAAATAGTGAAGGATCTAGTAACCAACCCTTTAAGTGCTCATTTCATGGGAAATTATTCATCTTTTTATTTCAGAAAACTATGCCCCTGGATATGTCTATGTCATACTACAGCTACCCCTTTCAGAGAGAAAACCTGGTGATTTGTGATGTTCACAATATTGAGTAATGTTTTATCATGATGTGTTAAGCCTATTATATCCTTATATAACTAAACTTAATCAACAGCTCCTCAGACTACTTTGCCAAGAAATCCATGAATTAATAGTCAACATGTATTCCTGGATGTTATGAATCTAACAATTACTACAGCTGAATGATTAAAACAGATAGTGATGTGTGTTATGTTATATATTCTCCTTTGGAGAATGAATCCTCACAGTTGAATTGCTTACATTATTTTATTTCTCATAGCACTATTTCTGCTTCAGCTCAAGAAAACTTCCCACTCAAAATGTTTTTATTTATTAAATACCAATACATTTGCATTGACTTTTATTCTTCAGGGCAGTTACACATATGTTTCTACATTAAAAATGTAAATATTTAACCATCTGGATGTGCAGATAAGTACACAAAGTTACCTGTTCACCAGGTTTAAAATCTTGAAGTGCCACACATTCACAACGATCATCTTTTAAATTGTAGCCTGTAGTAATCTGGATCATGGATTAAAAAAGATATAGAAAATTCTTAGCAGTTTAGGATTTACTGTATTTTTTAATTTAATTTTTATTGTAGTAAACAAAACATCAGAAAAACTGGAGAATTCAGTATAAAAGGTAGCAAAGCACAAATATGATGTATATTATTTTTTATAAATCTGTTTTTTCTTCAAAAACATATAAAATCACATACAATCTTTCAAACCTTTGCCCAAAATTAGTATATAATTCTATCCATATTACTTTTATAACAAAGAACATAACATTTCTATAGAAAAAAATTAAAAAGTACAAATAATTAACTGTACTTAAAGAAAAGCATTTCCGAATCTACCGTTGTTTATTGCTAATAAAAAAAAACAAAGAAGGAAACATGAAGACTTATTTTATTAAACTATAGTATATTAAGCATCTTCTCTAACATCTTGACATTTTCTTTCCAATTGAAAGGCCATTAATAAAGGTGTAGTGGCAATTATTTTCATTAAGATGATGCAGAGGAGAATTAGGAAACGTCTATTCTGCTGAAAGGATATGTTTGACTGCATTCAAGTGATACGGTAAATAAGAAATAATGGAAAAATATAGCTGGCCCTTTCTGTCAATAGGTGTAGATGAAAAAACTGGTTGGCTCTATCTGTACTTTTTTCAGTATTATATGCAAACCAGTAATTTCAGTTTGTTCTCTCAATATGTTGGAGTTATAATATCAGTCTGGCAAGATGTATAGGTTTAATGGTCTGGAGGCTAAAATGTACGAAGAACAGTTGCAAGAATTGGGTATGTTTGGTTTAATGAAAAGAATGATTACGGGTGACATTATAGCAGTGTTCCAATATCTAATGGGCTGCCACAAAGTAGAGGGAGTCAACTTACTCTACAAAGCACCTGAGGGCAGGACAAGAAGCAATGGATGGAAACTAATCAAGAAGAGAACCAACTTAGAACTAAGGAGAATTTCCCTGACAGTTAGAACAATTAATCAGTGGAACAACTTGCCTCCAGAAGTTATGAATGTTCCAACACTGGAGGTTTTTAAGAAGAGATTGGACAACAATTTGTCTGAAATGGTATAGGGCAGGGCTGTCAAACTGCCAGCCCGCGGGCCAGATGCGTCATGTGCTGGCCATGCCCCAGCCCGGTTTAGGGAAGGGGGAAAAAGTCCCGATATGTTACGTAACACCACTGTGACGATATGAGTTTGACAGCCCTGGTATAGGGTTTCCTGTCTGAGCAGAGGGTCAAACTATAAGACCTCCAAGGTCCCTTCCATCTCTATTATTTTGTTACAGTACTAAATAAAGCATGGATTTGTTTCTTGTGACTACTGGCAGAAAGAACAATATGATAAGAACAATCACCTCCACGCCAAGCCAAGATTGTTAACAAATAATGTCTGAGTACAGTCAATGAGATTCACTTTTGAGTAGACATATAGAAGATTGGATTGCCAAAAAATAGTGATTTTGATTAGAAAAATTCTTCCAACTCTAAAAAAGCAATTAATTTAAAAAAAAAACCCAGAGTAAAAAAAATAGTTATTGGCAATTATCTTCTTCCAAAGACCAACTTTTACATGTGGTAGAAATATTAGGGTCACAAAACTAGAAGAAAATTGATTTCTAGAGCTATTACAGCCAGATATGTTTTGAATTTTTAGTAAACAATATAGTCTTGGGGATTAAATGAAACTTTGATGTTGAAACAGCCAAGTATATCAAGGAGCAAGCAATGGATTATTTTTATCACTGTATAATTCTAAAGAAACAATAGACCGCCCTTGTTGTGATGATTATCCTCAAAAGAAATGACTAAATGGCTAAAAATGAGGGCTTATATTAAGGAAGCTAAAATAAATCCAGTTCTTGTGGCATCAGTCTGTACTGTCTGTACAGCAGTTCTAACCTTTTATCCATAACTTCTGTTCCCTAAGCAGCACCCCCACAGCAAGGACTGGAATGGTAGAAAAGTGTCAGATTGCAGATTCAGATACATTGGGATAAACAATTACTTTACTTTGAAGTGAGAACTAAGATTACTGTCAGCTGAATATGGGAGGAATCCTTTACTGTGATCCTTATAAGGCAGGGTCAGTGGTTGGGAGGTGCTGCTGGAATCAATGTTCTTTCAGGTTCATATTCTGAAACCTTTACATATGAACTATATCCACGGGCATACTGATTTTTACCTGGACTACAATCATGCTTTTTGAATCAGATATAGTACCTACTGGTTTTGACTAAGGACAGGCTGGAACAATTCTTAATTCTAGACTGCTTTAGCCAGCTCTGATCTTTTTCTTCTTCTCTGCTGTAGCTCCACAGGACAGAACACTTGCAATTTCAATAGAACCCTCAGAGCTAATATATACTATATTCCTTTTTACTGTGTCTTGGATTTTTAATATTAAGAATTATGTTTATATATGAGTAAATTAAAATGTTAGACAAACAGGTTCTGTGGTCTGGAGACCTCTAAAAATTGGTGGAATATTTGCCCTAGGCCTTTAGTGGCTGGCAATATAGGCTTGGACAACAGCTCTTTTGTCAGGGTTTGGATGATCTTTGGGATAGCTTGCAGGGTGGCTTCTTATTTGTCTTGTAGATGAGAGCTAGCAGGTTTGGTGAATGGCACTGGAGAGCCAGTCAAATGCAACCTGCCTGAATTCATATGGGTTGTGGGTAACTAAGCTACGTTCATTAGGGCAATGGCAACAGCTCAGGCTTTTAATTCTATAAATGAGATTCAAGTTTGAGAGTTTCCCTCCTTTAAGTTCTCATTTTTTGTACTTTCAGGTGTCTTTCTTGTTTACACCATCTTTTTATGGTTTAGACCAAGGGTGTCAAACTCAAGTTGACACGGTGGTGTCACGTGACATATCTGGAGTTTACCCCCCCTCGCTAAGCTGGATGTGGGTGTGGCCGTGTGACACATCCGGCCCATGCCCTGGGAGTTTGACAGCCCTGGTTTAGAGGGTGTGTGTGTGTGTGTGTGTGTGTGTGTGTGTGTATTGGTGCCTTTGAATTAGTGTTGACTCTAAGCAACAATGTGGACAAATCTAGGCAATTTCCATGGCAACATTTTTTCAGGGGATGGGGAAGGAAAGGGTGGATGGTTTGCTATTACCATTTTTCTGGGGCTTGGAGATAAGGGGACTGGTCCAAAGTAATCCAAGATGGCTTTATAGCCAAGGCATGTCTAGAATGTTTGGTTTCTAGCTCAGTGACCATTACATCAAATTGGCTTTCACTTCTATCTACATTTGTGTACTTTATATTTCTCCAGGACAAATTGTTCCCCTATTTCCATGCCATTTGACACACAAGATCTGATAAAAAGAAAGGAGACAGATTTGTGAAGGGAAGCAGAATCTATGTAAATATAAAAACTCCAATATTTCTGTTTTGTGCCACATAATAATTTGAAGAGTCAGACTGAGTTATCACACTGTGATACTATTACTATTAAATTCAGATTGTTTAATAGAAAAATAGAGAAGTCTGTGATATAATAAATTGAAGGACTAATCTAATTTGGATTAGGAAGCTGTGGTGGGGCAGTGGTTAGAAGGCAATTTTGCAGGCTAATACTGCTGATAGCCAGGAGTTTGATTCTAACTGGCTCAAGGTTGACTCAGCCTTCCATCCTTCCAAGGTTGGTAAAATGAGGATCTTGGGGGGCAATAAGCTGACATTGTAAACTATATAGCAGGTACTATAATGCATTATGGGCCAGTATATAAGCCTAAGTGCTATTACTATTATTATGCATAGCATGATTTTTGCTTGAATTTCTGGAAATTATTTACCTTCTGGGTTCTTTATACTTTCTAAGTTTTCTCCTGTGTTTATAAGGAACTTCTAGGAAGGACCATTGTAGGTTTAGAGCTAGCTGTCATTGCATTTTTTATGATATTTCCAGGATCTCTAAATATCCAGCTTGTAATAGACTACTTGTGATAGACAAGTAAACTCAATGTGAACAAAACAGAGTTCTCTGGGACTTGGCATCAGGATTAAGACTAGATTATTGTTCTTGTTGGGAGTATACTACTCTATTTTAGGGAATAGGTAACATCAGTGGCAATGGAGGCTTCTATCAGTTTTAGTTCCTCTACTCAAGAGAGATGCTTTAGTGACATGCGCTGGCAAGTCAAAATTAAATTATTGTAATTAGTATAATGTGCTTTTTGTGAGGTAGTCATTGAAGATGTTCCACAAACTGCAACGCATCCTGAATGTGGCAAGACAGGAGGTAAGTGGTACCTTTTAAATGTCCCACAAAACTATGTTGAAAGAAGTTCTTTAGTTGCCAACTGCTGTCTGAGTCCAATTCAAGGTGTTTGTAATAGTAAATAAAGTTTAAAAAGTTAAAATCTATTTAGCACAAGTTTAAATATATTTTGACAATGTTTTAAAGGTTTCTTTTAAATATAGTTTTGCTCTTTTAATTATTTATTTAAATTTATTGGCTGTCCAACTCCAATGGACTCTGTAATCTTCTGAGCTATTAATGGTATAAGAAGTAAAATAATTATTGGATCCAGCCACGTTAGTTAACTTTCATCCAGTCTCCAACCTTTTCTTTTTGAGGGAAAGTTTTTGAGAAGATAATTGGCATGCAGCTTCAGAGGGCCTGGAGGAAGTGAATTATTTGGACCCTTTCAGTTGAGTTCAAGCTGGGGTATAGCACTGAAACAGCATTGGTCATTTGAAGGGCCTGGGATGGGGTGTTACAACTGTCCTGCCTTTCCAGGATCTTTCAGTAACTTTCAATACCATTGACCATGGTATCCTTCTGAACCAGCTCAGGGGTAGGCAGTGGAGCTCCAAACTATTGTTTTGCAGTGGTTTTATCTCTTTTTTTTAAGTGGCTGATTTCAGTTGAAGGGAGTGGGTGAGGAGAGGTTGAGTCCTAGGTCCTTGCAGCACGGAATACTTCAGGGGCTCAGGGCTCTCCCCTCTCTTCCTTAATATCTATAAAAATGCTTTGTAAGATCATCTACCGGAACAGGCTATGCTGATAATACCCACATATATCTCTACATTGGGCCAGGCAGATGATACAGTTGTAGTGTTGTCTGAGTGCCTGGAGACTGTAAGGGTCTGAATGGGGATGAGCCAACTTCAGCTCAACCCTGGCAAGATGGAATGGGTTTGAATCCCCCCCCTTGCTTTAGTCACTTGTTGTTTTTGATGCTGGATGGACTTAACGGATACACAATACAGAGTCTTTCTGGACTCATGCTCCTGCTTGACGAGCAGGTGGTAGGCATAGCTAGGAGGTCCTTTGCACAGATTCATCCTGTGCACCAGGTGCATCCTTTCCAGGACCAGCAAGCTATGCTCGTGGTTACTAACATCTTAATTATTACATATGTGCCATGGGGCTACTCTTGAAGACTGATTGGAAGTTACAACTAGTCCAGAATGCAGTGGCACACACTGCACTGAGTGTCCATAGGTTTACCCACGTTATGCCTTTATTGTGTGAGCTGCACTGATTTCCAATTTTCTCATGGGTGTAATTCAAGTTGGTGGTTGATGGTTATTGGTTATTACTTTTGAAGGCCTACATGGCACAGGACCTGGTTATTTGACAGAGGTGGAGCTAAACAGATTTGACAGTCCAATCGGCTAGGAGATGGAGTTAACCCTTTGCCTGGACTCTTGTAACCTTACAAGAGAGAATAAGAATCCCACTAGATCAATTAAGATAGGCACTCTTCAGGTCCCCTCCATGAATTTTGCTATCTAATGGGTCCACTAATCAAACAAATCTTAGATGAAGAATTGACCATCTATTCTGGGCTTATTTATTTATTTATTTTGTTTTATTTATTTATTAAAATATTCATATGGCTGCCCATCTTAAGAAACTTTGGGGTGTTCACAATAATAAAGCCAGTAAATAAAACAATCATAAAAGAGTCAGAAACCTGAAGCATTTAAACAAAGAATGTGCACTGTAATCATCCCCTTGGGATGCCCCACAGCATACTTTATATCTATAATAATCCTATCCCATTACCTCAGTAAAAACCCTAATCTTAATGGCCTTCCGAAAGGCTAGTCTGGAGAGTGTGTTAAATTTTCAGTGGAAGGGTGTTCCACAAGATAGAGAAAGTCATGGAAAAGGCACACTTCTGAAAGTTTGTTTCGTATATTTTATTATAATTTCATTCATTAAAACTACTCGACTTCTCCATTTTTTTCCAAGGTATTTTGAAATTTTGTACTTGAGATCTGGAACAATGGTCACACTGCAAACAATCTGCATAGTTAAGGATAGCATATTTTTGTAGAGAAGTAATAGCATGTTATGTTAATGGGCATCTCAAAATATAAAAAGCATAGCTGAACATTGTCTTGTCTACATAGCTACTGCTGATAATATGTGGAATTCTTCTGATAGATAACATGAAACATTCATTTCACCTTACTTGAGTAGAAGAACTTTATGCATTAAAACAAACAGTATTTTTAACTGCGGAATTCTGCATGAGTTAGAGTATTACAGTTCTTCAACAAAAATAATCATTTTGCATATCCTATGACTTTTTAATATCACATTTTTCATTTATCTTAAGCAAAGGTATTATTTATTCCTACAAGACCTGTAATTACCACTTAAGATAAAAGAAAAGTCAGACCCTTGAGCTTTTATCAAAGAGGCAACATAGGGGAACTATAGTAGATGCATGGATAATCAGTTCTTTATTCCTTGCTGCTATTTGAACTAGAACAAGGGGAAAGCTAACAAGTCTCCATCTGTAACTTGGCCCAAAGAAAGTCAGCTTCCCTCCTGTTACCTTGAAGCAAAGAAAAAAGGAAACAGGGGGGGGGGGGGGTGTTGAGAAATCTCATATCCCATTTAAACAGAATATAAGAAAATTGCATAAAAGAGGATCAAAATGGAAAAGTTATATAGAGAGAAGGAAATTTTTAAACTGGCATTAAATATACATTAAGAGACAAAAGGCATAGAAATGCACAGAGATAAAATATTACTAGGCTAAGATGGAAAGGGGTGAAAAGTATAGGAAAGGGAAATATAAAAATTGAGGTATATAGAACAACTGTATTAGAATAATAAATGAAAAAAACACGTAAAAAAGCAAGAAAAAGTTTCAAAAGAAGTTCAAGTTTTATTTTAACTTTCTAAGGTAGAGATAAACAAAGACAAGACATTCCTTAGCCCTTCATATTTTGAAAGGTTTCAATCTTAGGCCTTTTAAAACTAGTTTCAACTAAATGATGAACTAATTTCTAACAATCTTAAAACAAAAACAATGTGAAATTAATTTTAATTATTTTAAGGTCAACACTATACAATACATATAAGACAGTTCTCATTAATAGACGTCTCTTGAATATAGTGCATTTAATATTCATTTTTAATAATAAACTTTCATGGGAATTCATTCATATTTCAAATATCTCCAAATCAAGTCAGACATTAACATATGTTTGTGCTTAATTTTATTGGTATGAAACAATAAATTTTACCTATTTAAAAAAAGATAAAGAAATTGCATTTATTCTCTCATATGAAACAGTCCTTACCAGTCCATTGGTGTGATTACACATGTCCCATAAAGGTATCAAAGCTAATGTAACTCTAGAGCCATCCTCAGCAGGAATCTGGTTTTGTCGAGCCATGACTGAGGAAACTGCCCACCTAATAAGCCAAAAAGAAGTTAGTGATGGTAACTTTTTGTTTTAATACATTTTACAATTTAGATATTTTATATATTTAGATATTTAGATATTTTATATATTAATCCTTTTATATAACAATTTAGATATTTTATATATTAATAAATTAATTATAAATAATATTTATAATTAATAAATAGATTTATTAAAGTCAAACTACTGCAGAATCCTTTCTTTTGAAAATCTAGAAAAACAGGCAATAGTTAAAAACAAACAACAGTACATAAAACAGATACTTTATGTGTTATAAAATTACTAAGAAGGAACTAGAAAATTAGGAATTATTTTTAGGATATGGGAGGCATAGAAAGACTTCTATGAATTAACTTTACTTATAGTGTTAACAGTTATGTCACAGTATCTTTCAAAGAAGTCTCACTTATTTTAACCATTTTCAGAACATTAAACTGCAACAAAAATGACTTAAGAGAAATTTTAGAAAGGAACATAACAATATATTTTAGAAGAAACTATAAATTAATGCTAATTGGTTAGCTAACAAACTTTGAAGATTAAATACAGATGGCTGCAATAATTATACTCTGTGATTTTTAATGCTAAGTATTATGATGGGACCAGGGATTCATGATATATTAACTTGATTATTGGGGGTATGGAAGAAATCTGAAAACTTAACAACTTAGTTTTTATATAAAAAGGGAAACAAACCTGTAATCATCATAAGTGAAAGAATCCTTCAATGGCAGTTTGCTGGCATTAGGATGGGTCTAGAAATAAAAGATTCAGAGGAGAGGTGAACAGGGGAAAAAGCAAAACAAAACCCCCACAAAAATCAGTCAGCAGAATTTCATTATTTAGCTGCCTAACAGATCCTAACAAGAGCCAAATGAAGCAGGAGGCGTCCAGCCGCGCTACGAGGGATCATCATGCTATTATGCTCTCATACATCACTGTCAACTTAATTTGTTGTGCCCAGCAGCCGCCATAAATCTGTTTCTTCATATTTCAAAGACTCAAACTCACAGACAATGGCACACAAGAATTTAAGGTAGACTCCTATCTCCAAACCACTGATGAAAAGTTTTCTGCTCTCGGGGTTTTAATTCTTATCTTGGTCACACTGTGTGAGATTAAATGTATTTTTAACTATTTTTACTTGTTCTATACCCTATTTTTAAAAAATTCAGAGGATAAATATATTTTAAAGACCAAAGACATGAAAAACACTGAAACTGTTATAGCCAAATAGGTTGGTGAAGGACAGTGCTACAGCTATTATTAAAGAAAACTAATGAGGCAATTACATTTTTTTCTTAAGGTATTGGTCATACTATATACCAGATTAATAAGAAAGAAAATAATCTTAATTATGATGAGAAAATAAGGATTTTAACCAACTGACTTAAAAGTTCTTCATATCTTATATGTTTAAATATATAACATTAAAATCATAGAATTTTACCAAATGCTTCCCCCTCTTGAGTTATTAAGATCCATTAAAAAGATCATTTTAATATTACAATTGAATAAGAGACTTCAGAAATTAAATAGATGATTCTACCAGTGGAAATGAGATTTGTATGGACCTACCGATATCTTTGCAACATTGTTAAAGCAAGAAGCTCAACACAGCATGTTTTTTATAGTCTTGATGCATTAGCATCACAAGTGCATGGTAATTTATCATCTCTCACAGTAATGTACTTGCTGGCACTGTGTGCAGGACAGTAGGGGATGAGGTAAAAGTGGCTCAAACCGTAAATCAATTAGAAAACAAAAGCTTGTGCTTAATGCACAATTTTAGGCAAATTATATATTACAAAAGGCTGCCAATTGGGTGTTATGTCCCAGGTGTCCATTCTCTCTAACCCCTTAAAATTAGCTTTGTGGATGGACTAGCTCTGAAAATCTTATCTCTCAACTAATTTTCAAATCAGTATTCATTTTACATAGAAATTTTCATTGCAAGGCTAGAAACCAGGATGCTATGAGTTCTATTCCTTCTAAACAGCAATATAATCTTGAGCTAGTCACTGACTCTCAGTCCTTGGAAGAAGGAAATGGCAAGCTATTTCCAAAAATAACACCAATAAAACTTCAGGAACTTGTTCAGACAGTTATCAGAAGTTAAGGCACAAAACCAATTGAACAAGCTTTGTATAATTTTATAAGAGTTATCTCCAAGTAAATGAGAATGCTCTCATCAATCAAATGGGAGAGGGGAATCAAAACCAAACACAGGATGAGGTGCAAAAAAGATACTATAAATACTAGTAAGGCCAGATTTTGAAGATTAATTTTTGATAAAATCTATGTTCAGTTTGCTTCAGTTAATAAGTAGCTAGTTAATTTCAAAGCCTTAAATACTTTATTTAATAAGACATATACGCCACTGTTTAGAATGAAACTTCCAAGATACTATAAGACATTGCTAAAATAAAAGATGATGATGATGTTGACATTATTGCTATTACCACTATATAGAAGTAGAATAGAAGGAGAATGGATTATTATGTATGCTATTTTGAACTCCTGAATAAGAAATATAAATTTAATAAATAAATATGACATCAGGTAACAATAAAAGCAGGTAACAGCATACGCACAACTATAATCAGAACTTACCGGTAGTTAAAATCATAATGACAGGAAAAATCTTAAGATGCTATTCGAAAACCTCTTAAAAAGCAGATGTTTTATTGAAAAAAATTCATAAACCTGGAAACATTAATCTTTTAAATTCATAAATCTGGAAAGCATTAATCTTTTAAAAATAGCAAACATTTATTTTAAGATTAACAATTTAAGCTTTTCAATGAACTATACATGTGATAAAATGAGTTTACAACACAGGCAAACTCACAATTATATTTACTTTTTGTAACTTTCAACTGAAAAGTCTTCCTGTAAACAATTATATCAGGATTTCTCTGAAGGACCAATGACTAACATGGCTCTGTCTCCATCTACTGACAGGATGCATGTAAGGCAGGATCAGAAACTTTTGTCTTAAAAATTCAAAGGGACAATTTTCTCCTAGGAAAATGTTCACCAATTCTAACTAATCAGATAATTTTACTATATAGAATATAAAAGCATTGACTTTTAAAAGAGAAGTAGCACATGCATATCTATATTAACAGAATATTTATACAATCCTTTTCTAATTAAAAAAGCCATAACATTATAGAAAATGAAGACAGAAAAGACATTTAAATATTACTTATATTTAATTATCTCATGATAGGTAAAAATCTTCGTATTAACAGAGCAGAGCAATGTTTTACTTCTGATCAACTAACCATCAAACCATCTGGAAAGCTATTCTTCCCAGGTTGTTTGCAACAGACTAGACCAACTTTACAAACAGCAAATTACCATATTTTTCACTCCGTAAGACACACTCCCCCCCAAAAAAGTCATGGTGCCGGTCCTTTGGTAAATAGCAGCCAGCCACGGTGGCGGAGTCCTTTTACATTGCTGAAACCATCCTCTTCTCTCTTTGTCATTGCCCGCCTCTTCTGTCTCTTTTCCGCAGTGCAGGAGTCAATAGGCAGAGCAGGCACATGAGAGGACACCTATCTGTTCAGAATATTTTTTTTCTTATTTTCCTCCTCTAAACGTAGGCGCGTCTTATGGAGTGAAAAATACAGTATATTTTTGGAAATTCCATTCCATAGAATAGGCAGTAACACAGTAATCTAGCAGATGTTTGAGACCTGCACAGGGGACATGGAACAAAGCCTCCATTAAGGTCTAGAAAGGTCTTTTTGTTCAAGTGCCCATTTCCTAAGGTATTCTGAATCCAAGATATATATCAGGCACTGAAATATGCACATATTGACCTTGATAAATGTAATCAAGGTACCCTGTTTCTCCAACAATACGGCCTCCCCAATAGGAAGTCCCAGCATGTTTTATAGGCATGAAATGAATTAAGCCCCTCCCCCCAAATTAAGGCCTATATTAAAACATGCGAAATGGGGGGAAATGGTGGTGGTGGGGCTTGCCATTAGGAAGTACTTTTGTTGCACATCCAGATATGGTGCTGCCTGTGTTGACCCCGATACGAAGTGCCCCACCAATGCCGAGGTCAACATCCAAGCCGTCGCTGCCCGCCCGCCCAAAGATGCAAGGGGGGGGGGATTAAGTCACCCCCGAAAAGACAGCCTAGCCATTTTTTCGGGGCTCAAAAAAAATAAGACCCGGCCTTATTATATGAGAAACACGGTATCAAAGTTCAAATTTCATTTCTCAGTATTCTAATATACGAGCTTATATCTAGCTCTATATTTAGTTGAACTATGGAATTTGGTTGTTTGCTTGCAGATGTTTCATTATCCAACTATCAAACTCAGAGACCACCAAAGGCTCCACATTTGAAAGAAGGGGGGGGGTACAAATTGTACCTGATGCTCAAAATATATCTGTCCTAGGTTACTATCCTAAATAGAGTACTAGAATAGTATGCAATTGACTATTTCATTCAGTAGCATGATTAGGGGAGTGCTGAACATGAAGAATAGTGAATGGGACATTCAGCACGCAATATTTTACTGGGTGCCACAGTAGGCCAGTGGTGTATGCTATATTTAGCTACCAATGGCGTAACTATCCTTGAACAATTGTAAGCTGCTATCCAGTCAAGACACACTTGTAGATATGAAAAACTGAAATCTACGATGTATAGATTGCACCAAGAATTTTCTTATAGAAAAATTCTTTTTAGATGGTTTATTTATATACATAAATTTAACTATAATTTATACAAATGACATCAATTTATGTAGTTCTTTTAATATTTCTTTTGTAGCTTGCTAGGAAGGAGAAGCAAACTAATTACCTTCATTCCCAGAAATAATGAAATCCAGCAATTAATATCAGATGATTTCATATTTAATTAAATACTTGGTTCTATTGTAAATGGAAAACAAGAGTATTCGTCCAGATCAGAATGCAAACCCTATTTTAAATATAATTTGAAATTACTTTTGGGGCAAAGATATGTCTCAATAAGATTATTTCAATTCCAGAAAATAAGTGAGAAATATAAACTATAATTTATATTTGTCCACTTACCAAATCCAAAATGGTACCAACAAAGTGTAAATGTTCAATATTATATTTTAAGACAACTGATGTTTAATTATTAAATAGTATACTGCATATTAAATACAGAGGGAATAAAATTCCATAGATTAATATAATCACTTTTAAAGCCTTCTGCATTTTTTCTGAGAATATCCAGAGAGGTACTTGCACATTTCAAGCAATCAATCTTTCTTCTTAATATATCACAGGAAATACTCCTAATACAAAACTATACTGTCTCACAGCAAATTTATTTTTATTTTTGAGAATGCAGTATTTTTAACATGTATTAGCATATCTTAGCTGAAATGACCAAGAGAAAAATACTCTGATTAAAAAATTGATTTAGCATGCAGTTGCACTACACAGTCCCTCTGTAAAAATGAAATCTCCCTAACAAACTCTTAATAAAACCTGTCAATATATCTAGAAAGAAAAATGACACAAATGCATTAAGTATTAAATACCCTTGGAAAAAGTAACATATTCCATGAATTTTTGATGTACTATCTTGACATTAATGTAAAACCTTGATATTTATAATTGACAGATATTTAATAAAGTATAGAATATGGCTGCTGCACAGCATGCAAATTTTTCAGGTTGATCAAAAGGAGATAGACACTTATTCAAATGAAGCTACCTGTTGATAATGGCAAAACTCAGATTAAATTTG